AAGCATTAGAACACAAGCTAAAAGCATCAGAGCACCAGCTAAAAGCATTAGAACACAAGCTAAATTCAACACAACACGAACTAAAATCAGCAGAATGCAAACTAAAAATGAAAAACAAGATAACATTTGCTACTGTAACTAAGAAAAGCAAAACAATACTTAAAATTAACAAAATAAGTGGTAAAATTACTAAAACTGATGTTAAATCGTTTAAGCTGCAGTTAAAATTAAAAGAGAAGCTAGCTGAAAGTAGTGCATGAAGACTAAAATAGACCCAGTTTGTTGATAAATAAGAGGACGATGTTTTCGGACGACACAAAGGAAACTTTTCTTGTTTGAACCCGAAACTGATCCAACAAAGTGTTTTGGTGTCGTTCACAGGTACCTCCGACCCTCCATGCTGCAGCACCTGCTCAGAAGGCTGGTGTTCGATGTTCCCATCCTCAACGAGTACGCAAAGATGCCTCTTAAGGTTCGTGTCATTAATCTGCTTCACGCAGCTACACAGATCGTTAAATCTGATATAAACTGTTTAATGCTTTGTAACAACCCGAGCGATAGATGAGAAGTATTGTCATCGAGGTCCTCTTCTCTCTTTGTGCTCCAGCTGCTGACCAATCACTACGAGCGCTGCTGGAAGTACTACTGCCTGCCCAACGGATGGGCGAACTTCGGAGTGACCTCTGAGGAGGAGCTGCATCTTTCTCGGAAACTCTTCTGGGGAATCTTTGAGTCACTGGCACACAAGGTGAGAGAGGACTTTCACCACGGTTGGTTCAGCTTCACCTGGTTTATGTGAAGGAGCCATCAGGAAGAAGCGACCAAACGTTGAACGCACCTAGAGTGAAGAAGTTTTCCGTGAGATTCGCTGCACGATGAACTGCATGAAAACAGGCAAGAGATGGCCAGTTTACGCCCCTGACAAGAAACCATTTCAAACAGGAAGTTGGTCAGTTTGGAGATAAAAGAGAACGAAGAAAATGTGGAAAACTTCATCTTCGTTGTCCCGTTGCAGGGTGACTCGGTCTGTTTTCACCTTCTTAAGCAGCTTTCTTCAACAATCATTCAACAACAAACGTCCACGCTGCATTTTCACAGAAAATGACATTTCTCTAGTTTATAATTCTGCTTGTACATAAAGATTAATAAATAAAAAAAACAAGCCTAAAGCACCAATAGACTAGAGCTGGACACCCACCATGAATACCAGAAATATAGCTATGAATCTTTTTGGACCTGAGTTTGCACATGCACGTTAGTAACAGTAATGTGGCCGAGTCGGGCCAAGTCGAGTCCACGGAAAAGGGTCAGACCAGGACAGGGACAAGGAACGGTCCTCCTCTGAGCCATAAATACATAAACAAGTGCTGACAAACCATCAGACAGGTAGATGAGACACACCTGGAGAAAGAGGCGGAGCTTGAAGGAATGCCCATCACCCGCTGCCTCGCACGGCAAAGTTTGAATCAGTCCCATACAATCTGTTAGTCAAATATTCCTCCACTCAACTTCTAATCTGTAAAACTTAGTCTCAGTTTTGTGTTGGCTAAGGTTGAGTTGCCGTGGCAGCCATCTTTAATCAGGTTAACTCCAAAAACAAATTATCTGCAGATGTACATCAAATGATCACTTTTGGTTTACTTAAAGCCGTCCACTGGTTCATGAGATATTTTGCTCACAGACAGACGCCATAAAAACTGGGCCATAAAGCTGAAGCTTTTTAATCGTTTGGCTTCTCTTGATTTACAGAAATTCGATGCCGAGCTTTTTAAGATCGCCATGCCGTGCCTGTGCGCCATCGCCGGCGCCATCCCTCCCGACTACGTGGACGCCAGCTACTCCTCTCACACCGAGAAGAAGGCCTCAGTGGACGCCGAGGGCAACTTTGATCCGAAACCTGTCGAGACCACCAAGTAAGAGCTGTGGGGGGGGGGGGGGGGCCTCTGACAGTGGTTCAGTTTGTCTGACTTGAATTCACTGAAGGGAAGAATTACAACTAACATTTACGTCTATTGAACGTACGTTATTTTCTAACGTTAAATAAATGTTAAAAAGACTCACGAGCTAAAGTTTAAGCTGTAAAATCTGGAGACTGAATGACTTCTCTCGTAGCACCATCATACCGGAGAGGCTGGACGCTTTTATCAACAAATACGCAGAACACACCCACGATAAATGGGCTTTTGAGAAGGTCAGGAATAAAAAAACGAATGCTTTTTTAGATATAAATAAAGTTTTGTCATTTTTGAAAACGTTCTCTGTATTGCAAATTACGTTTCAGATTCAGAACAACTGGACTTACGGAGAGGTGTTGGATGAGAATGCTAAAACCCACCCGATGTTACGGCCGTACAAAACCTTCTCTGAGAAGGTGAGGACCTTTCACTCTGAGTGTGACATCTGACGCAGAACAGTGATATTTAGCCCTAATTTCTCTGTGTGGGTCCAAGGACAAAGAAATCTACCGCTGGCCCATTAAAGAGTCCATCAAAGCCATGCTGGCGTGGGAGTGGACACTGGAGAAAGCCCGGGAGGGAGAGGGGGAGGTCGAGAAGAAGGCATCCACACGCAAGATCTCCCAAACTGCTCAGGTACATCAGAGAACATATCCCAGTTTGAACAAAATAAATGCTCTTGTAGTTGTGAATAAGTGAAAAAGTAAAGTGTTTTTTTCATATAAAAAACTAAGTAGATTCTCATATAAACCCCATTTTGTTTATTTTTGCTCTTCAGGCCACCTACGACCCCAGTCATGGCTACAACCCTCAGCCTATAGACATCTCAGGGATGGCATTATCCAGAGAACTGCAGGTATGCATGTCCCCCCCCCCCCCCCATTCAGACTGGATGGTGAGGCCGCTTCACTCTCCGACCTTTCAGAGTGGATGTTCCTAGAAATGCCTGGCATTAGCGTGAACTTGCACTGTGGAGTGCAGATGAACATCAGTAACAATGGGGGTAGCAGAGTGCTGTTTGTGCTGATCTCCCATTATAATGTGTAGAACCAACCCAACGTCATCCTTGGTCCAAACGAAGGTTCTCCATTTTGGATCTTTTGGATCTTTGGTTTTCATGCTCCAGACTACAAAACTGACAGCGCCAACTAGTGACCCGGCAGAGAAACTACTGGGGATCCAACGACCTCGGTTTATCCATTTAAATGTGCAACTTTTCCCTCAATCAACATGGTAAAAATTCAAACATTTAGTGTTTCACTGTTTAAACATGGCCAGAGACCTGGATTTTTAAAAAGCTTCCTCTTCATAGAAAACACCTGCTGTTGTCGTGCACAGCTGATCGGTTTCACTCAAAAACAGCGTCATGTAAACGGTGCCTTAGATTGTGTTCTTTGTGCCGGTCCGCTGCGGTGAGAAGGGAACTGGTCTGCAAGCGACGCTGGAAAAACCATGTCTCGGCAGGCCTGGGAACGCCTTGGGGTCCTCCTAGGAGTTTCCTCGACAGGGCAGCTGGACTCTTCCTTAGCCATAGGGTGAGAAGTTCAGTTATCCAGGAGAGTAGTCGCTGCACCTCCACATCAAGAGGAGCCAGTTGAGGTGGTTCAGACATCTGGTAAGGATGCTCCCTCGGGACAGGACTGGGAGGAGACCCCAGGTATAACCTGTGACTGTCTCAGTTGGCCTGGGAACACCTTGGAGTCCTCCCAGAAGAGCTGGAAGAGGTGGCTGTGGAAAGAGATGTTTGGACATACCCAGCATGTGAGCGTGAAGAGGTCACCGATGTGAGCCAGTCCCACATCATGGATTCTCTGCCACCAGGACTCAAGACCTAAGACCAAGAGTTCACTAGCAATAAGATAATAAATCATGAACATTTATAGAAGTTTTTGCGTGCTCAGAACCATTGTGGACCTCCAGTACCTCCACCACATGTAACATAGAGCCCTCTGTGTCCTTATCTTAAGACCTCACTAAGACCGTTCACGTTCTGGCTGAGTTTTTCATCATCGCAGGGTCCAGTGTGAAGAGGGCTTTAGAATCTGACGACACAGGTCTCAAATTCAGTCTGGAAATCTTTTGGAAGATCCGGTCAGATGAATGTTCTTTCCTTCTCTTTCTGCAGTCCATGGCTGAGCAGCTGGCAGAAAACTACCACAACACCTGGGGCAGGAAGAAGAAGCTGGAGCTGCAGGCCAAAGGCAGGAGGGTCTCTTCAAAGATAAATGACACTTTAGTTCTTAGATGGTGTACAACTTGGCTGGCTGATTCTAAAAAGTGTCTCCTTTAAGGTGGTGGCACCCATCCTCTGCTCGTGCCTTATGACACCCTGACGGCCAAGGAGAAGGCCCGGGACAGGGAGAAGGCCCAGGACCTGCTGAAGTTCCTGCAGCTCAATGGATATGCTGTGACAAGGTGAGCCAGACGTCCTACTGTTTGTCTCCTGACCGCTCTGTGCTTGCTTCGCTCTTTTTTACTTTAAATGTTTTCTTTTCTCAGAGGTCTAAAAGACATGGAGCAGGACATTTCCTCCATCGAGAAGCGTTTTGCCTACGGATTCCTCCAGAAGCTTCTCAAATGGATGGACATCGCCCAGGAGTTCATCGCTCATCTTGGTACTTTTGTAGAACCCTAGTTATTGTTATTTTCACAAAAACTGCTGAGTCAGACCGTCTTTGCCATTTTAATATGATTCCTCATAGAAATGCATAGGAAGCTCTTCAGTTCCTTCAAAATAAGCTCCTAGAAATTTGTTTTAGCAAATTGTCTTTATTTTGTCTTGTACATTTTTTAGTTTTTAGCCATTGTTTTACTTTTAGACTTTAGCTAGCTTCTTAATGCTCTTGTAGCCTTTTGTAACTTTTTGCTTTCAGCTAACATACCTTCAGCTTTAACTCCAGTTTTGCTGCCTTTAGCTCTTAGCTAGCCTTCTGCTTCTTTTTAGCTCCAAGCTACTGTTTTTTGCTGCTTTTAGCATTAGCAAGTGTTTTGTTTATTGTAGTTTCAAGCTATCATTTTGCTACGTCAAATTTTAAATTTTTGTAATATTTAGCTTTTAGCTAGTATTTTGTCATTTTGCTACATTTGGCTTTTAGCTGGTATTTTACAACTTTGGGCTTTTAACTAACTTTTTATAACTTTAGCTAACATTTTGTTACTTTTGTCTTTTAGTTAGCCTTTTGATATTTTTAGCTTGCAGCTACTGATTTGTTACCTATAGCAAGCATTTAGCTTGTTTTAGTTTCAAAATCATTTTGCTACTTACGTTATTTTATCTCTTGTTTAGTTTTTGTTACATTTAGCTTTTAGCTAGTGTTTTGATATTTTTAGCGTTTTAGATCAGATTCGGGTCAGTTTATTATTGCCGTTGTCAATGAACAGGATTCACAGACTCGGAACTTGCTTCGGCATAAAGGTGCAAATAAAATGTAAAAAATAAAAGAAAACATATGTACACCAACCAATACAATACTCAGAAAAAATGTGCAATTGGAGTAATGCAATTAAAATACAGTGATAAAGTGACCTTAATTAAGTTTTGAAACCTTTAGTTTGAGCTAGCATTATATTACTTTAATTTTTTTTGGCTTGCATTTTGCAACTTTTTGCTTTAGCAGTTTTTCTACTTATTTTTTAGCTCAGCTATCAGGTTGCTACTTTTAAACTTTTTAACAAGAATTTTGTTACGTGTAACTTTCAGCTAGTGTTTTGGTAGCATTTTATTTTTTTAGCTGGTGTTTTGCTTCTTTTAGCTTTAGCAACTCAGTTTCAGCTTCTGCACATTTTAGCAGTTTTTTAGCGCTCAGCGTTCATTATGTATTCTGCAGGGGGAAAAAGTTGTTTCTCATGCACAGCCACTTTTTGTCTCTGTAACAGAGGCCGTGGTCAGCAGTGGTCGTGTGGAGAAGTCTCCACACGAACAGGAGATCAAATTCTTTGCAAAGGTGAGCTGCTCAATGTTTCTTTGTCTTCACTGTGTCGGCTGCTACCATGACATCATGTTGTAGTTTGATTTAAAAACCTCCTCTTAAGCATCCACGAGGTCTTCAGCTTTGGACTGACAGAATATGTCATGTCCTCCATCATCTGTTCTTTAACAGTGACGGCAGCAGAGATGTGATGAGACAAAACTTTGTAATGGTCCGGGTGTTAAACGTCTTGACAGTTGCGGTTGTTTAATCAGAGTCGAGAGAATCGGTCTGTAACAAGGAGAACATTTTTACTGGCACTATTTAAAGTAGTATTGCACTTCGCTTGGACTGTTGGAGACTCAAACTTGAATCAATATTTCAAGAAAATATGCTAATCTTCAGCTGTAGTCTCACCTAATTCTGAATGTTTGCGACCAGCGAGCCGTGTGGCCACATTTTACCTATTTAGCGTGACTAGAAAAACTGTATTGTTGTCTGTGCACAACAATTTGTTGCTCTCCAGCCCACATCGTACTTACTGCACCTCGGCCTATTTACTGGAGTACACTTTGGAAATTAACAGTGGTGGGCACAGTTCCGCTAATCCCCTAATAGCCAAACTAACTTTCCATTTAGAGGATTAGCATTTTCACTAACCTTGAAAATCTTTAGCAGAATTAGCTTCAGCTAAATTAAAGTCTGGTAAATTCATGTCAGCTTTTTTTTTTTTTTTTTAAGACAATCCTCCACACTTGAAGCATATGGTGAATGGTGATGTACTTGAAGCGATGCTAATGCTTGGCAGAGCTAAGCAAAGCCAAGCACCACCGGGTGACGTAACCGCTCTTGCATATCTTCCACCGTCAGTCTCTGACTCGTGGTGTCAGTTTACAGCCAATAACAGAGACTTTGATATAAATGAAGCCAAACCAGAGCAGGAAAATAACACGAAAGACCCATTTTCACACTCAGAAACATCGTAAACAGTCAGAAACATTGCACACAAAATTTCTACCCAGCATGCTTTGCAACGACCACACTGTCTCTGGGACGTGACTCTCACACATTTCACACATCTTTACTTTAATACAAACAGATTTATTACAGAGAGAATAATGATGACGTCACACAGCAACTTTTGTAGTTAGTTATTAAAGTAGTTAACCACAAAGAGGGTTGTCAAAGTGAGTTCATTCATTAAAGTAAATGACACGAGGGAGACGTCCGACACACATTGAATGCATCACTCAGCTTCAGCACAGCAGAGTTCTGCTCCACGTCTTTGGTTCTGATGGTTGGATTAATTTCTGAAAGCTCCTCTTTGACATGGACACTTTTATGAACATTTTGAGTTGTTCACTTACAACGTTGTCACATCACAGTCTCACAGTGTCAGCGACAACAGTGGATGATAAAAGTTTGCGCTTTAGCGTTAGCTTCCACTAATTTCTTTATCTCTTAAGCTGATTAGCGTTAGCAAAGCTTTTAAAAAAAAAACATCTGTTTAGCGCTTTAGCATTAGTTACGCTAACTTTTTGGTTAGCTGTGCCCACTACCAGAAATAAAGATACACAGGTTTGGACCAGGTATTTATTACTGTTGTGGATTTTAGTCGTTAAAAAGTGGACTGTCCTCGAGTAGAGGGGTTCACGTATCTCCGGGTTTTGTTCACAAGTGAGAGAAGAATGGCGCGTGAGATGGACAGACTGATCAGCAGTATTGTGGACTCTGTTCCGGTCTGTTGTAGTTTAGAGGGAACTCAGTAGAAGCTCTCTTTTTCCCTGGTCGTTATAAGTTCCTGCCCTCACCTATAGTCAGGAACTCTGGGTAGTAACCAAAAGAACCAGATCATAGGGTGAGAAGTTCAGTTCTCCAGGAGAGACTTGGAGTAGAGCTGCTGCTCCTCCACATTCAGAGGAGCGAGTAGAGGTGGTTCAGTCATCGGGTAAGACTGGACCCTGGACACCTCCCTAGGGAGGTGATCTGGGCATGTCTAACTGGGAGGAAATCACAGGGACGACCCAGGACACACTTGAGACACCGTAAGAACAAATTGGAGTCCTCCCAGAAGAGCTGGGAGGTGGCCATGGAAAGAGATGTCCCTGCTTAAGCTGCTGCCCCCAAGACCTGACTCCAGAACAAGATAATGGATGGAAGTGTTTTGTGTCAGAGGAGAGCAGATGCTCTTTACGACCATAGCATTTTAAAGAAATAACTTGCAACACTAATTTATGGAACTTGTACAAAACTGCTACTCGTTTGTCGAAATAGAGAATGGACACAAACGTCACGAGACGTGGATACGCTCTTGTGAATCCTGTTTGCAAACTAGTTGCCAGCAGTGCAAGACCATATTTAGTCCTTCTCAGGAGGTTATTTTTATTGGCTGACTAAATTATTAATCCTGGGTTGTCTTTTCTAGATTCTCCTGCCTCTGGTCAATCAATACTTCAAGAACCATTGTCTGTACTTCCTGTCCACTCCTGCCAAAGTTCTGGGCAGTGGAGGGCATTCGTCCAACAAAGAGAAAGAGATGATCGCCAGGTTTGTGGCTGAAGTTTCTTTATGCCGTTGTTTTCCTCTAATACAAACTGTAGACCTTCTTCTACCTTTCCCTTCAGGACAGTGTCTATCCTCTCAGTTTGCCACATCCTTCCATCTTTTTCCTGTTTTATAATATCTTTTTTTTACTTTCTGTGTACCTGAAACATTTTACCTGCCCTGTCCCCCCTCACCATCCTCCCTCCCTGTTCCTGCCTTTCTTCCTTTCTCCTCCCGCCTCAGTATCTTCTGTAAGTTGGCAGCTTTGGTGAGGCACAGAGTCTCTCTTTTTGGTAAGGAATTTGCATGGTCTCCCCCCTAGTGTCTGTTTTCCAATCTCATTTCTTTTTTTACCCCTTCCCTCTTTCCATTCAATTATCATGGAAAAGTTTCATCCTAGTCTATCCTCATCTCCTCCTTCCACCTCAGCAAATATTCTAATGCTTCTTTCTCTTCAGTTCAGCTCCTGCCTGGCTTGAGTGGTTTCTGTAGACTATTGTTGTTTTTGCTTTGACATCAAACTAAAGCTGGTTATTATAAAGAGATGGTATCAACGTCTGTAAAGTTATGGGATTGCTCTGCAGCTCTGTGATGTCTCCAGCTTGGCTTTTCTAGATGCTTTAGCCTCATTTTCCACTTCACCACCATGTGTCTTTTATTGTTACTTTAATTTTAGTCAGTAGTTTTTGATTGAAGGCAAGTAGGACCTAGTATACATTTATACATTTACAGTTAATATTTTGTTTCCAAATGCCAGGTTTTCTTTTAAAATTTAAATGGTCTCAAGCATAAGTTCTCCATGCTTTTTGAAGGACATGAAAACGCTGAATTTGCTAAATAGAAGCTGTACAAAAAGGCCAGTGTGGTGAAGTATAAAAATTAGAAAGCAATAAGTGAGAATCGAGTCACACCCTCTGTTGTTCTTGATTTAACTTAACTGCTGCCTCAGTGAGACAGGAGCCCCCAGCCAAGTAAATTCTAAAAACTGAGCTGGAAGCGAGTGGGACCACCCAGTGGAAAGACTCTGAATTCGAGCTGGATCGACCTGAGTGAGTCTGAGTCAAGACCGTGGAAAATAGCTGTAAGGGTTCTTAGGCTGGTTGAGGACACAGAGTTTCAATAGAAAGAAAGTTGAATTTATTTACAAATTTACATACAAACAAATCACCAAATGAGTTTTTCATTCTCAGTCCTGGAAACCAAAAAGGGAGGGAATGACTTGTATCAACTGCTGAGACAGAGGGATCAGACTGGAAAGGATGTGCAGCAGGTTAGGTTTGTCAAAGATAGGAATGGTAATGTTCTAACGAGGAGAGTGTGACGGGAAGATGGAAGGAATATTTTGAGAAGCTAATGAATGAAGAGAATGAAAGAGAAAGAAGAGTAAAGGTCATAGAAATGTACTTATATAGCTCCTTTCTATCTTATGAAGACACTCAAAGCTCTTTACAACAATCTGTGCCTCATTTACCCATTCATACAGCTCTCTACTAGATCTCTATAAAGAATAATCAGAGCTTTATCACATTCATACACTGATGGGACACATATCAGAGGGGTTCAGTGTCTTGCCCAAGGACACTTCAGCATGTGACTGCTGGTGGAATTGAACCCCCAACTCTTGCATTGGAGGACGACTGCTTTAACCTCTCAGCCACAGACACCCATAGAAACTGTGGACCAGGAAATTGGAAAGATTAGTGAGGGTGAAGCTCTGAAAAAATGAAGATGGGGAAGGCAGTAGGACCTGATGACATACAGTGGAGGTTTGGAAATGTCTTGGAGAGATGGCAGTGAGGTTTTTCACTCAAATATTCAATGGCATATTTCAGGGCGAGAAAATACCTGAGGAATGGAGAAGAAGTGTGCTGGTGGCCATTTTTAAGAACATGGGTGATGTACAGAGTTATAGTAGCTACAGGGGAATTAAGTTGATGAGTGTAGCATACAAGAAGTGATGGAGGAAGAAAGGTCACACTTGACCCTCACTTCACTACACTTATTTATTTATTTTGCACTCGTTAAAGCGGAGCACCAGCTGCTCAGTTTATTGACCAACAACAACTTAATTAATTAATATATTCACCCTTTAATAATCAGAACTCAGTCACTGAAGTAGAATTTGTTAACGACAGGGAATTCTATACCATAACAAATAAATATACATCCAAAGAAGGAGACCAAAGTTGTCTTTGAAGTTTTCTTACAAAAATAATTAATCAAACTAAGAATCAGCAACAGCAATAAACAATCAAACAACATAAATGATAAAGAATAATAATTTGACTTTTTAATTACATGAGTCACACAAAGAACATCTGGGAGAGTTGTGGAAGATATACTTAGATGAGAGGTGACTATCTGTGAGCAGCAGTATGGTTTCATGCCGAGAAAGAGCATCACAGACGCCATCTTTGCTTTGATGGATGCTGAAGGAGAAGTACAGAGGTTCAGAAAGAACTCCATTGTGTCTTTGTGGATTTAGAAAAAGCATATGACAGGGTGCAGATGGAGGAGGTGTGGTATTACATGAGGAAATCTGGAGTGGCAGAGAAGTTTGCACTCATTAAAGCAGAGCACCAGCTGGTCAGTTTATTGGCCAACAACAACTTAATTAATATATTAACGTGCTGCTATTGTTTGGTGTATTGTTTTTGTACTATTTGTGCTTAGTGTATTCTTAATTTTAGCATATTTCTTAGTTCATATCTTAGATTTTACTACTGTTTTTCTTTACATTTATACTTTTGTTGACTGTAACTGGGACCCTGTATACACAATTTCATTCCACCACATGTACCACATGTGGTGTGAATGACAATAAAGAACCTTGACTTGACTTGAAGTACGTTAGACTGGTGCAGGACATGTATGAAGACAGCAAGACAGTGGTGAGATGTGCTGTAGGAGTGACAGATAGCTTCAAGATGGAAGTGGGAGTGCATCAAGGATCGTCTCTAAGCCCCTTCTTGTTTGCTCTGGTGATGGACCAACTATCAGATGAAGTTGAGGAGTTGGTGCTAGCAGAACGGGTGGGTGTAGTGAAGCATTACGGTACAAATTCTTGGTCTAAGCTGAGCTGCTACAATCTCCACTCCTTGACTGGAAGTAGCGGTGCTGGGGGGGTGGTAGGCAGAGCACTCGGTTCCATTGACAGATTGTGTCACCTTCCGTAGATAATGGTAGGGGGAACACTGAGGTAGTTGGAGTACACAAAGGACAACGTGAGATGGATGAGGAAGACTCACTGTGGAGACACCTAAAGAGGGAACAGCTGAAAGATTACTTCTTGTCAATGAGTCATCTATGGCTCTGTGTTGTCTTTAAAATAACTTTAAAAATTGAATTTATGTTTTTGTGAAAGTATGAGTTTGCTTGGTGTTTGCTAACACTGCCTGAAATGGTTTTTATTGCCAAATGTTGAAAAGGAGCTTTTAGGACCATTCCTCTCATCTTCAGAATAAATCTGAATTTGAACAGGACAATGACAGAACATATGTTTGAATATGTTGAATATGTATGTGCCGTTTTCAGGAACCGACGCTCCTGCCGTAATAAACTGTCTGCACATTCTCTCGCGCTCACTGGATGCCAGGTAACCACTCACATTACGCCCCATCATTTCCTCAGGAGCAGAGGAAAACAAGTCATCTCTTCTTTTTAAAGGACCGTCATGAAGTCTGGTCCGGAGATCGTGAAGGCCATCTTGCGCCAGTTCTTTGAGAGCGCTGCAGATGACATCGAGAAAATGGTGGAGAATCTGAAACTGGGCAAAGTGTCCAGCAGAAATCAGGTTTGTTTCTGCCTAAAGCACTTAAAAATTCAGACATCATCTTACCCATGACCCAACATAATCAATAAATCCCTACTTGTCATTTCAGAGCTACTTATCAGGTTATTTTAACAATAACAAGAAAAACAGTTGAAACTTTGAAAATGCAGTGAAGGCTTATTGCTGAATTTTTTTTTTTTTTTTCATTCATTCATTCAACCTTCATTTATGCAGATAAATCACATTGAGCCTAGAAGACTCATTTACAAGTGAGACCTGTTTGGACAGACAATACAGGTTTTGGAGGCAAAAAAATCCTAATATGCTCTTAATCTTTGGCTGAAGATTAATATCCTGAAAATGGAGAAAGAAAAAAAAGAGACACTCCAGAGACACTCACAGGGGCACTGCAAGAGTTCTGATAAGAGTGGTATAATCGCTCAATTCACATAGTTCCCTCTGGAGAGATCAGTAAACGTTCTCGGGGGGGTGTCGAGGACAGCCAGGGACGATGTCAGATAGAATTCAAAGAGTCCTGGAATGATGACAGAATGTTTATTCAGCCAAGCCCCTCTAAATGGTCCATAAACTTCCTCAGTGAGTGAGTGTGTGTGTGTGTGTGTGTGTGTGTGTGTGTGGGGGGGGGGCATAAAGGTTTACAGAGCTTCCAGGTGAATTAAAATAAAGTGGCCTGTCAAGGCCAGTCAGGGAGCTGAATTAGGGCTGGGCCATATCGTTAACGACAATACCAGTAAAAAAAAAAAAAAGCTTGCCCTGAACAATAAATGATATGATATGCTAATTTAATGACGTAATACGTCAATGTATGTAGCCCCGCCCCATTAACAGAACCGAGCGCGCCGAACGACCACACCGAACTGCGCACCCCTCCCCACCTGTCGGTACTGGTGTAACGCTAAATAGTTGCGCGCAATACTAGCTAGCTAAAAAGCTAAAAACAAACAACATGCGTTTCAGCTGTCTCTCCACCCCACTCTAAGCTGCCGGTACAAACGCAGCTTGGCTCTTTTCTCTCTCCCTACCCTGCTCTGCGGCCGGTGTGAGGGCAGCTCGGCTCCCCACGCTCTAAACTCTGTACAAACACAAGCAGCTCAACTGTCTCTTGGTTCCACCGTCCAAGAACAGAGTCAGGTGCTCAAAGACAGAGCATCAGAGAAAATAATCATTCCTACAGGAACAGAGGAAGCTGAAACACCACAAGCTTTAGGGTCAGCGATCACCTTGTCAAGTTTTGGAAGTTATAGCTCATTTAAAGGCAACATATATTTTGTTCTATGAGGCCATGGAGAATGACTTCCGTACGGCTTTGAGGCGATTCTAGTCCACCATCTGGCGTCTCATGGGGGGAAAGCGTTATGCCACCAACACTGTTTATAGTGGAGGTGGTGTGCTGCTGACCTCAACTCAGGATGTCGTGGGTCGGTGGGCAGAATACTTCGAAGACCTCCTCAATCCCACCGGCACGTCTTCCACTGAGGAAGCGGAGCCTGGGGACTTTGAGTTGGGCTCTCCAATCTCTGGTGCTAAGGTCATCGAGGTGGTTACAAAGCTCCTCGGTAGCAGGGCCCCAGGGGTGGATGAGATTCGCCCGGACTTCCTTAAGGCTCTGGATGTTGTGGGGTTGTGTTGGCTTACACAACTCTGCAATATTGCGTGGACATCAGGGGCAGTTCCCCTGGATTGGCAGACTGGGGTGGTGGTCCCCCTATTCAAAAAGCGGGGACCTTAGAGTGTGTTCCAACTACAGGGGATCATGCTCTTAATTTTTTTTTTTTTTTTTTTTATTTATCCTTTTTTTATCCAGGTAGTCTCATTGAGCCACGAGAACTCATTTTCAAGAGAAACCTGTTTAGGGAGCAGATGGTGGGGGTTGGGGGCCTTGCTCAGGGGCCCAGGGTGGGGTGAATGAGGGTGGAGGGAGGTGTGGGTGTTTCACCTTTTCCACCCACATTTTGATGTTGATGGTACCGGGAGGTGAACCTGCGACTTTCCGATCGCAAGCCCATCTTCTAACCTCTGCGCCACCACTCCCCCAAGCCTCCCTGGTAAGGTCTATTCAGGGGTTCTGGAGAGGATGGTCCATCGGATAGTCAAACCTCGGATTCAGGAGGAGCAGTGCGGTTTTCATCCTGGTCGTGGAACACTGGACCAGCTCTACACCCTAGGCAGGGTCCTGGAGGGTGCGTGGGAGTTTGCCCAACCAGTCTACATGTGCTTTGTGGACTTGGAGAAGGCATTCGACTGCGTCCCTCAGGGAAACCTGTGGGGGGTGCTCCGGGAGTATGGGGTACCAGGCCCTTTGATATGAGCTGTTAGGCCCTGTACGACCGGTGTCAGAGCTTGGTCCGCATTGCCGGTAGTAAGTCGGGCTCGTTCCCAGTGAGAGTTGGACTCCGCCAAGGTTGTCCTTTGTCACCGATTCTGTTCATAACTTTTATGGACATAATTTCTAGGCACAACCTAGGTGTTATGGGGATCCGTTTTTGATGGCCTTTGGATCGCTTCTCTGTTTTTTGCAGATGATGTGGTCCTATTGGCTTCATCAAGTCGTGATCTACAGCTTTTGCTGGAGCGGTTCACAGCTGAGTGTGACGCGGCCGGGATGAGGATCATTTCCTCCAAATCCGAGGCCATGGTCTTGAGCCGGAAAAGGGTAGAGTGCCCTCTCCGGGTCGGGGAGGAGGTCCTGCCCCAAGTGGTGGAGTTCAAGTATCTCGGGGTCTTGTTTACGAATGAGGGAAAAATGGAGCGTGAGATCAATAGATGGATAGGTGCAGCATCGGCAGTGAAGCGGGCGCTGTACACGTCCGTCGTGGGGAAGAGAGAGCTGAGTCAAAAATCAAAGCTCTCAATTTACCGGTCGATCTACGTTCCTACCCTCATCTATGGTCATGAGCTTTGGGTTGTGACCGAAAGAACGAGATCACGGATACAAGCGGCCAAAATGAGTTTTCTCCACAGGGTGTCTGGGCTCTCCCTTAGAGATAGGGTGAGAAGCGCGGTCATCTGGAGGGACTCAGAGTAGAGCCGCTGCTTCTCCACATTAAGAGGAGCCAGTTGAGGTGGCTCGGGCATCTGATTAGGATGCCTTCTGGACACCTCCCTGGTGAGGTGTTCCGGGCACTTCCCATCAGGAGGAGACCCAGAGTTTCTCGGCTGGCCTGGGAACGCCTTAGGATTCCTCGGGAGGAGCTGACCCAAGTGGCTGGGGAGAGGGAAGTCTGGGCTTCGCTACTTAAGCTGCTACCCCCGCGACCCGATCCCGGATAAGCGGAAGAAAGTGGATGGATGGTTACATTTATGCTCAACAGATCTTAAGCTTCACTTTATCTAGTTATTTTGGGAAACTGCACCTGCACTTTAGTTTTTGTGATGGATTTTGTTAAACTATATTTTGTGCAGACTTTTTCAATCTAAATAAAAGAAGGATCATTTTTATTTTTTATTTTTATACTTTTAAGACTGAATACTTTATTCAAGTAAAATTAACCCTTGTTTTTAATTTTTTTTATTTTTATATAATACTGCAAAACAACATGTTAATTTTGTCAAATCAATAACTATGATTTATTTTTTATTTTTTTTGTTATATCACGAAATTTATCATTATCGTCAGAATGTTCGGAAATATCACAATATTATATTTGAGCCATATCGCCCACCCCTAAGCTGAATTCAGATAAGCACGATTGTTTTGGGGACATGCAGAACTTCACTGATTATGTCTTCCTTGAATCTGTGTCGCTCCACTCGGTACTGAAATATCCAAATTAAATGGCCACATGATTGGACTGTGCCTGAGAATAATCTTCGAGATAATCCATCCTGCCAAAAATATTTGAGTCTGGGCGCTCGAGGCACGAACCGAGCCATCGTAAGGCAAGCAGCCTGACCAGGGCCAAATTTGCTGCTGAAAACTTCCTTCTTTGTTGATAGACCAGGAACCAGCCAAATCCAAACGGCAGGAAACCAGTTATCATAAATCCAATTACAGTATATATGCATCCTTAACATCCACGATTGACAGCAGAGATAGACACATCACCAGGTCTTTGAAGTCGATGAGATATCCAGCTGCATGCCAACAGGGCAAGTCGGCTCACCTAAAGCCTGTCTTCTCTTTGAAGAAATGTTATCAATTGTGTTGAGGGACCAACTGAGCAAATCCATAGCAGAATTATGATTCTGAAGATTTGTTGAAGAGAGGCTCTAAAGCAGTTGCACAGACAGGACAGATCAAAGCAAAGTGGAGAAGGAGAGGAGGGGAAAGGCATCCACCCTTGACAAGAGCAAGTGTTGAAGTGGAAAAGATTAAAAGCTGCTGAAGAAGCTGAAAAGATTTAATCACTAAACTGTTATTGCAAGTTGAATTTTCTAGTTTCTATGGTCCACATGTATTTTCTGTGGTGCAGGTGGAGTTTTTATGAACTAGACACCAGCAGAGTGAGGAGATGTGGTCATTTTGTCTTCTAGCACTCTCAGCCTAAGCAAAATTCAGCAGAACTAAGGGATAGCTCAAGAAAGCCTGACCATCCCTAACTATAGGATTGATCAAAAAGCAAAACTTAAGCCCAGTCTTAAAACTGGACAATGTGTCAGCCTCACGGACAGAAACTGGAAGTTGGTTCCACAAGAGAGGAGCCTGATAACTGAAAGCTCTGTCTCCAGTTCTACTTTTAGAAGCTTTAGGAACCACAAGTAAACCTGCAGAGCGAAGTGCTCTGTGAGGAATATGTGGACATTGTAATATATGAATATGTGGATCTTGTGGACTTTGGATGTTATAAGATTTATTTTTCAAAATTTTTCTTGTAGATCTCGGCCTTTCTATATGTGATGTCTGTATTTGTTTGTGTTTCTGTAGGTTAAAGGAGTGGCCCAGAACATCAACTACACCACCACAGCCTTACTGCCAGTCCTCACTTCACTCTTTGATCACATTTCCCAGCATCAGTTTGGAGATGATGTCATTTGTGAGTTTAAATGATTCATGATTTTTTACTCAGTTTTACAAAAATGTGACTACAGGCTAACACATTGTATTGCCCTCCTCAGTGGATGACCTGCAGATATCCTGCTATCGATTAATGTGTAGCATCTATTCTTTGGGAACGGTGAAGACTCCACATGTTGAAAAGTAAGAACGCAGACCTTTTACAGGCTAAAAAATGTGTTTTATGTTACTGAATTCACTCAAGTCTGAAATCGCAAACGGTGCCATCTGAATTAAAAAAAAGGGCTAAAAAATGCTAATGTTACTGTCTAGCATGTGCTAGCATCAATGCTAACATTAACATGCATTAGTTACTGTGAGTATTAACTTATTAGTAACTTATAGTAGTAACTTATTTTAAAGATTTTTTTTTTTTTTAGGTTTAAGTAGTTTTTTTGTTTAAATTAGAACTTATAATCAGATTCTTTGTGTATTTGTGTAGACAGCGACCAGCTCTTGGTGAGTGTTTGGCTCCTTTAGCAGCTGCGATGCCGGTAGCGTTCCTGGAGCCATGTCTGAATGAATTCAACGCGTTCTCCGTTTACACAACCAAGACTCCAAGAGAGAGAACCAGTGAGTTCATTTTTCCACCACAACACAAACTACAACATTTAACATGTTTGCAATTGTTAGAATGATATTTAAATAGTAATTGTGTCATGTACAGTGTTTATGTTGGTTATCATTGTATCAATTCTGGTTTGGCATTGAAAAAAAACTTTATTTATTTGTATAACTTTTGCGATCTATGTGCTTCTGCATATTTGAAGCTGTTTTAGACATTCATAAATTCAAACGTTATCTCATTCAGCAGATGGTGATGTAACTGTTGGTTTGTGTAACTTTTATGCTTTTCAAATTATTTAACGTTATTTACCAATAAATTCTTCATACAGATTTCTTTAATTTCTTTAAAAACATTGTTTGGGATTGAGTTTGGATGACCTTTGATTTTTTTTAACTAGCCTTTTGCTACTTTTAGCTAGCTATTTGCTACATTTAGGTTTTCGCTGACCTTAGGTTTAGCTTTTTGCCAGTCTTTTGCCTTTAGCTAGCTTTTCCTACTTTTAGCTTTTAGCCAACATTTTCATATTTTTAACTAATTGTTTGCTATTTACATCTTTGAGCTAGTGTTTTGTTACATTTAGATTTTAGCTAACATTTTGCTACTTTTAGCTTTTGCTTTGATACCTTAACTAAAGTTTTGCTGCATTTAGATTTTAGCTAGTGCTCAGTTCTTTTTAACTTTAAATGAGTTGAAGTCATTCGGCTCTTAGCCTTCACTCTGTGTTTTCACAGAAAACCCAGTTTCTCCAGTTCATCTGTGTTTTGTTTTTCCCCTCATCAGTTCTGGGACTTCCCAACCAAGTGGAAGAACTTTGCCCCGACATCCCAGAGCTGGACGTCCTCATGAAGGAGATCCATGACCTGGCAGAGTCCGGAGCTCGCTACACAGAAATGCCCCACGTGATTGAGATCACTCTGCCCATGTTGTGCAACTACCTGCCGCGCTGGTGGGAGAGGGGTCCAGAGAACTTCCCCGAGCAGGAGGGCCAGCTATGCACCGCCGTCACCTCCGAGCAGCTCAATCAGCTCCTGGGAAGCATCATGAAGATTGTGGTCAACAACCTGGGCATCGACGAGGCCTCCTGGATGAAGAGACTAGCAGGTTGGTGAGCAGAAAGCTGCGACTCCAGGTTTTTTCAAGAATCTAGAATCTTTGTTGTCATTAGGCATTAGCACAACAAAAATTTGTTTGGCGCTCACAGCTAAATATTTACACATGCGGAACTATAAAGTAACTACAGAACTTGGAAGGCTTGACACAGACGAGTTGTGCGGCAGTAATGCAAGGCATTCAGCAGCAAAAAGTGCAGCACAGTGCAAGTCCCAGTTCTTAGAATGAGTCATTGAGTACATGGGAGGTGTGAGTGTATGTCTGCAGGGGTTTGATGGTCAATTTACAAATGTCCGGAGCAGAGGGGGTAAATTACACAGCCTTGGAGAAGAAGCTGTGTCTCAGTCTGCTTGTTTGTGTTTTTAATGTCTTATAGCTCTTTCCAGAAGGTAGAGGCAGAAACAGTCCATTACCAGGGTGGGTGGGGTCTGCTGCAATACACCTGGCCTCTCTCTGTACATAGTCCTCATTCACGGAGTCCAGATCTGGTAGAGGAGTATTTCGTACAAACCACTGAGCCGTTTTCACCACTGATGCTGGGTCCTTCTGTGCCATGCAGCTCCTGCACCACATTGACACACTGAGACAGAGGATGTTCTCTATTGTGGTTCTGTAAGACTCCTGCACATTTCAGCCACGCTGATGTGGATGCCCAGGAACCAGATGTCCACCTGCTCCCCCGCCTCTCCTTGTATGAGAGGAGCATGTTCAGCCTTCCTGGTCCTCTTGTAATCTACGATGACCTCCTTGGTCTTGGTGTTCAGAACAAGGTTGTTTTCAGAACACCATCTTGTCAGATGCTGGATCTCCTCTCTGTAGTGAGTCTCACTGCTGTTCTATATGAGATCCACTATGGTGGTCTCATCTGCAAACTTCACAACTGTGTTCATGGGGTGGATGGTGGTGCAGTTGTGTGTGAACAGTGTAAAGAGAACTGGACTAAACACACAGCCCTGCAGGGTGCCTGTTTTAAGGATCAGTGATGATGATGTTCGGCGTCCAATTCTCACCACTCATTGGTGAGGAAGTTCCGGATCCAGACACAGTGATGCAGGCAGACCCAAGTCTTGAAGCTTAGGTGCTAGCTTTTCTGAAATAACTATTAAAAGTTGAGCTCAAGTCCACAAATAACTTTCTGACGTCGCTGTTGGGATGCTCCAGGTGGGACAGTGCTGCATGAAGTCCAGTTGAGACTGCATCCTCAGCTGATCGGTTCTCTCTGTAGGCAAACTGACGGCTGTCCAGACCAGCAGGGATAACTTACTTTATGTGCTTTAGGACGATCCTCTCAAAGCACTTCATGATGATTAGAGTTAATGCAACAGGGCGATAATCACTGAGGCAGGTGACAACGGATTTCTTTGGCACAAGCACAATATGGAGGACACACAGGAACTGAGCGAGCTGCAGGGTGAAAGGCAGCTGTTGCTCCTCCAGCCGAGAGGAACATATTGTCTCTCTGCAGCCGGATTCATCAAAGAGTGCAAAGAAGCTGTTAAAGGGGTCGGCTGATCTGCTGATCATTGCTCTTTGTTGTCCATTATAGTTTTGATGCCTTTCCACGTTACGTGGGTTGTTGTCAGCAACATTTTCCTCAGTGTATTTTCTGTACCTGTGTTTAGCCAGCCGGATGCCCTTATTTAATTCTTTCTGGGCCCTGCTATAAGCCAGCTTGTCACCTAGTCTGTAGGCAGCACCCCTCATTTTAAGTAGAAACCAGACTTTACTGTCCAGACACAGTTTCTGATTCGGGAAATTCTTCAAAGTCTTTGTGGGTAGGACAACATCAGTACAGATGATGTATAAGCATCCAGATACAAGCCCTATTTGAACACGTCCAGTCAGCGTTCTCAAAATAGTCCTTTAATGTGATCCGACATGCTATTGGGCTGGTGCTGCCTTGTATGCACCTGTTCGAAGGTGGAATGAGCCTGTTGGTTCTGTTGACGGGGCGGGACACCCCGCTTGTTTAATGGTAGGAGAAACACTGGGTGTCTTCTTCTCCTCGGCTGCCGTGCTCTGCCGTATCTCTGGTGGAATAAAGTCCAGGATTGGGGATGTGTAAAGTCCCTACTTCTTCCCAATATTCAGCAGTTCCTCCTCTCTATACTGGATTGAGGCTTCAAGTAACTGAGACGTTGGCAAAAACAGCTATAAAACAACAAAAACCGGAAAAAGCCGAGATCTCCGAGCTGCTGAGTCCACGCGCGCCGCCATCTTGGATAAAATGGATAATTTTGGTTGCTATAGTCCATTTATAACGTTATCTTTTAGTACTTTGTGCAGTCATCATCGAGTACGTCACGCTTTGATAAACGTTCGTTAACAGTTGCTAACTTTGTTTTCTCCAGTGTTTGCCCAGCCCATTGTCAGCAGGGCGAAACCAGAGATGTTGAAGTCCCATTTTATTCCCACGATGGAGAAGCTGAAGAAGCGCGCAGGAAAGGTGGTGGCAGAGGAGGAGCACCTGCGTATGGAGGGCAAAACAGAGGTGGACAGCGAAAACGGGACCATTCGGGATGAGTTCGCTGTCCTGTGTCGTGACCTGTACGCCCTGTACCCTTTGCTCATCCGCTACGTGGACAATAGCAGGTAGGTGCACAAACTTTTAATAATATTTCTGTAAACACTCGTAATAAAACAGTAAAAACAACAGGGTCAAATGGACGAGACTTTCCTGGTTCTACAGATAAATCCTTATCTTGGTTTCAAGACGGTTCTGTAGCTTCAGCTTGTTGATTTTTACCATTTTTGTCTGAAGGGCACGATGGTTGACGTGTCCGGACCCCGATGCAGAGGAACTTTTCAGGATGGTTGGAGAGGTTTTCATCTTCTGGTCCAAATCACACGTACGTGTTCCGGCATCTTTGGTGTTTTCAGCCTTCTTTCTCCCAGTTCTTATCATTTCTGTCATCCAAAGAGGATGTGATGATTGCACGAACTGCAGAGCTTGTTCAGGTTCTGATAGTCGGCTCGTTACGTTTCAGAAGGTTGAAAAACTTTTAAGGTGTTAAATTTGAACCAAAGTTTTTGGTCAAACACCCAGAAACATTCAACACTTTTACAGCTAGAAAAGTTACATTTTCTGTAGAAATACAAAGTGAAGCTGAAATTTGTTGAAGCTGAAACGAGTTGTTAAAGCTAAAAAAGAATAGCCAACAGCTAAAATGCTAACGATAAACTAAAATGTGCAAAATATGAGCGAAACCCAAAAAAAACCCACTAACAGCTACAAAAATAAAATGATAACTAAAAGCTAAAATAAGCTAAACTTGATGTAAGTTAAATGATGCCAAATGGAAGTGAAGTAAAAGAAGCGAAACACTGACTAATAGCTAAAATAAGCAAAATGCTAATTATAAGCTAAAATAAGCAAAATAGAAGCTAAAGGCTAAACAACTAAGTGCTACCCAACAGCTAAAAATGGAAATGCTAACTAAAATATTAATTAAGCAAAACACTAGCAAAAAGAAACAAAATGACAGCTGCAAGTAGCAAAAAGAAAAGAAAAACCTTGAACCTAAACTAGTAAAAGACTGGCTGAGTAGAAAAATGCTAGCTAAAAGCAGCAGAAGAGTACCTGGGAGTTAAAAGTATCCATCCATCTATTATCTTTACCCGCTTCTTCTTTTTTGGGTCGTGGGGGTCACTGGTGCCAATGTCCCGCTATCACTGCGAGAGGCAGGGACACCCTGGACAGGTCTCCAGTCCATCACAGGGACACATAGAGACAAACGGGGACAAACAAACATTCACTCTCTCACTTAGGGACAATTTAGAGTTACCAATCAGCCTAACATGCATGTTTTTGGTCTGTGGGAGGAAACTGGAGTACCTGGAGAAAACCCACACAGCACGGAGAGAACATGCAAACTCCACCCAGAAAGGTCCCCTGCCCGGGATTTGAACCAGTGACCTTCTCACTGAGAGGCGGCAGTTCTACCAGTTGCGCCACCGTGCCGCCTGATTTAAAAATATCTGAAGGCTAAAAGCTAAAAGTAATTTAAAAAGACAAAAGCTGAGCCAGTTAGAGGAAGCAGATCTTAAAAGTAAAAGTTATTTTTAAAGAATTGAAGAGATTTCCATGTTTTTCCATGCGGTAAATTTTTTTTTGTAAATAGCTAAATATTTTGGAAACTTAAAAAGTGAGAAAACTAAAACCAAACTAGATAGAAATTTTAAACCTCTGACAAAACAGTTTGAAAATAAACTCTACCTGGGTGATTGAGCTTACAAACCTTTTTCCTGAAACTGTGTTTTTAACTCACGTTTTCTCGTGGTTAAAGGGAATAAGCATGACCTCATAAAGACCGGACCTAAACCTGTTGCGGTGTGTTTCACAGAACTTTAAGAGGGAGGAGCAGAACTTTGTGGTGATGAACGAGATCAACAACATGTCCTTCCTCACCGCTGACAGTAAGAGCAAGATGAGCAAGGTAAGAGTGGCGGGCAGGGCGCAGCGCTGCCTGAGTCACCACATACGCAGCTGTAACACATTAAGAAACTAATAATTAATGTTCCACTAACTCCACCCACTGCCAGCCGACAACGATGTGGCAGTAATCCACCCAGTCTTCAGCTGTAGTTAGAACCATCATGTTCTCTGTTAGCCTCATCATTTGTTCAGGATGATTAAAGTGGCAGTAGAGCTGTATGATGAGCCGTGTTGCTAACTGTGTTTTCTCCTTATATCCTGTGTCGGGGGTTTGGACGGCGGGCCACTAGGCCGGAGACGGAGAGGTTAGATTGTGTTTGTGCACGAGCGCTGTGCTGACCGCATGGCACCCTGAGTTTGAGAGGCATTTTCATCAAGCTCTGTCGCACTTTTCCGGACAAACTGAGGCCGTTAATCACACAAATGCACATCCACACACACACACAACGATTAGCGTGTTTGTCTTCACAAAGTCTGTGGGTGGAAGACCAAATGTTGAGGCTCTTATACACCAAACCGAGAGCGGGTCTTCAAAACTTCAGCTCTGATGGACTTTTGTAAAATGAGTTGATTTTGTGTCTGTCATCGTAGAGCAGATCCTCAAACTGTGAACCAGAGTCCGGATCCAGAATCACAAAGTCCCACTGGGACCCAGAGAGCTTCTTAATTTTCTGTCAAACTTTTATTTTTACCTGAACGCTGATTCAGCACTCACGCTTTTATTTTCCTAATTTTTATTTTCCGTTCTTTTTTTGTTTTGCAACCCAACTACGTACTTCTGCAGACTTTGTGCTATTTTAGCTTCTCATATGATATCAGACGTTCAGCTCATTCAGGAGGTGAGTGCTACAACTTTTATAATTTTAGACCTTTTAAAGTATTTACAATTATTTTCCTCAGAGAAAAAAAACTGAGATCTCTTCAGGTCCTAAAAAACACCGCTCTGTTTAAAATCTGCTTCAGCTACACGCTCTGTTTTTGTCTTCTATGTTTAGTTTGTAGCTACCATTCTGCCACTTTTAGCTTTCAGCAAGCCTTTTGCTACTATGTAGTATTTTGCTATGTTTAATTTGTAGTTAGCATTTAGCTTCTTTTAGCTTTTAGGTAATGTTGCTACTTTTTTTTTTTTTTTAGCTAATTCCTTGCTTCTCTTAGCTTTTAGCAAGTCCTATTGTTTTTAGCTAGCATTTTGCTTCTTTTAGCTTTTAGCTAGGGTTGCAACATTTGACCTTTAGCTCATGCTTTGCTTTATTTAGCTTTTAGCAAAGAATCTGCCTCTTTTTTTTATCATTTAGCAAATGTTTGGCTTCATTTACTTTTTAGCAAGCCTTTTGATACTTTTAGCTAACATCGCTACTTTTAGCCTTTAGCTAGTGTTTTTCTTCATTTTAGGGATGCACCGATCCACTTTTTTCCACTTCCGATCCGATGCTGATATCTGCTGTTTGGCATCAGCCGATTCCGATCTGGGGGGGGGAAAAAAAACTGTTGACTTTGTTCCCATCGTTGGTTTGGTGTTTAAGAGCCCTCAAAGGAACATTTGACAGACTCAGTTTGTTGTTGGTCTGTTGGGGGGTGTTGCGTTTGTGTGTCTGTGTGAGTAAGAGGGTCCGGAGGGCTTGATGAATGCTCGTTGCTGTAGATGGTAGTGGCCTGAGAGGTTTCATGGCGCTCGGCTGAGCAGTCGGGTGCTTGTTGCGCGCTCCTGTAGCCGAGCGCCATCGCCCTGTTTTTGTTTGACCAATCAACACTTTGCCCTCAGATCGTCCCTGCGGACCCAGCTGTGGACCCAGCTGCGGACCCAGCTGCGGACCCAGCTGCGGACCCAGCTGTGGACCCAGCTGCGGAGCCCGTCTGCTGTCTGTAAACTGATATTTTTACAGGTTTTTTTGGTTAAGGTTCCTGCGCCGGGAGACCCGACTCTTCTCTCCAGAACCGTTATCTTCTTTGGGTTCTGCTTCTACTCAAAACACACACCGTAGTTTTCTTGTTTCATTAGATTTGCCTGATCCGTCTGCAACAGAAAGTCATATGAAACAGGAAGTCCACCTGCTTTCATTTCTAGGGTTTGACATATCAGGACATAATGAAAAGAACCAGATCTTTACCAGGTTCTACAATTATTTAAACATAACCTCAGGTGGAAAAAAAACACAAGAGATTGGGTGATTGTTCATTCAACATAAATGAAACCAAAATGGAAAAACTGCTTCTAACCTTGCTGCTTTCATATTTCAAGAGGATCAGTGTGTGTTGACACAAACCAGCCACTAGGGGGCACCAGCCAGTGCATCTGGTTCTGGTCCCATTCACGGGTTAACGACCGCCCCCGGTGCTGCTGACAAACGGTGCCAGCAGAAATAGTGCTACTGTTAATCGAAGGCCACGAGGAGGGAGACGTGGTGAGACCAGCTATGTTGTATGGTCTGGAGACAGAGACATGGACAAAAAGATTGGAGACAAAACTGGAAGTGTCAGAAATGAAGATGTTGAGGTTCTCCTTAGGAGTGACAAGGATGGAGAAGATTGGGAATGAGATCATCAGAGGTACAGCACAGGTTGAACAACTGGGAGATAAAGTTATAGAGGACACACTGAGATGGTTTGGACATGTCCAGAGGAGGGACAGTGGGTATACTGGTAGAAGGATGTTAGAAATGCAGCTGCCAGGAGAAAGACAAAGAGGAGATACATGAATGCAGTTAGTGTAGAGTGAGGTGGAGGAGAGAGGACTCGTTGTGGCGACCTCTGAAGAAGGAAACATCAGAAGTTTGTGTTGACACAATGCTAAGGCAGAAAGACATCAGCAATGACCTTAGAGGAGCAACTAAAACTGCCTGTCAGTCAGGGAAGGGTCAAAGGTCATTTGTAAACCATTTGGAGTTCATTGTTTGACAAAGAAAATGAAGGTTTGCATTTAGGACAGCTGCCAGTCGTCCCAGGAGTGACAACGAATTCATCCTGAAGGTCAGATCACACAGTGCGTAGAGATATAAACTCCATCCAAGGCTCTGCAGGCCTCAGTTAGCAGGTTAAAGGTCGAAGGTCATGGCCTCTTCTCTCTAAAACACAACATGGCAGCATGACTTAGGTTTGGAAAGTTTCATTTGAAGGGAACCACAAGAGTTTTGGGACAATGACCTTTGATCCGATGAGCCCAAAGCAGAGATGTTTACCCAGAATGCACTGCAGCAAAACCCTCATCCCAGCTGTCAGCATGGTGGTGGAGGGCTGATGGTTTGGGCTCCTTGCAGTTATTGAGTGGACCATGAACTTCTCTGTAGACCCATGGGTTCTGGACTCAGATACGAGTCCCTCTGTCCAGTAGCTGAAGTTTGGACCAAACTGGTCCAACAGGACATTTCTTCTCATTTTGGTCCTGTTTAATTAAAAAAAAAATTTAAAAAAATGAGATGGTGGAATCTGTTGTGTGTTTTAAAACATTTGAGGTGAGTTTTGAATAATTTTATTACACCCTGATACATGAAATACTCCAGAACCAAGGTGAGGTGGACTTTCTTTTCTCCAGGACTGTTTCTGTCGAGTTCCATGTGAAGCTCCTGTTTCTCAGCTGTTTTTAAACTAACTGGACTCATTGCTTATTGTCATGCTCACTGACACCATTAAAACTCCTACATATTCCAGTGTGACATCACTGACGTTTTCATACGGTGGATAACGATGAAGCCTTGGTACAAGATGAACTTTTGTGATTAAAACTCAAAGATTTTATTTTTTTTAAACCCACGTTCCTTAACAGTAGGCGAGTAGTCTAAGAATAGACTACACCAGCTGACCCTTTAGACCAGGCAGGTCCTATCCTGGTCCTGGAGGACCACTGTCCTACATGTTTGAGAGGTTTCTCTGCTCCAACACACATGGTTTGAAGCACTGGATGATGAACAGGCTACTACAGAACACGAGGAGGTGATTTAACCATTGATTCAAGTGTGTTGGAGCAAAGAAACATCTAAAACATGTAGGACAGTCCAGGACCAGGATTGGACACCCCATCCTTAGACCTTTCTATGGGAGATACTGGCCACCGCACTACTAACGAAGAAGCTGCAGTATGTTTACCAGCTGGAGCTGAAGCTACACGAAGCACCTGAACCTGAACTGTTCATGTCTGCAGGAAAATGTAGCCGTTAGCTGATTCTCTTTGTTAGCATGTTAGCATTCTTTGATGGTCCATCTCCTTACTCTGTTCTGTTAAAAGTTCTCAGAAGCCTCTGAGTTCCCAGAACTGTATTTTTTTTTTTTTTAATTCCAGTTGTTGGTTTTCTCGTTAACCTCGTGCTGATCTGTCCCCCTGTCTTTAGTCCGGAGGCTCGGATCAGGAGCGCAACAAGAAGAAGAAGCGGGGGGATCGGTACTCGGTGCAGACCTCCCTGATCGTAGCGGCGCTAAAGAAGATGTTGCCCATCGGCCTCAACATGTGCTCTCCTGCTGATCAGGAGCTCATCAATCTCGCCAAGCTCAGATACTCTCTGGTACCTCAGACCAGTCTGATGGGCTTTTGAGTCCACAGATGGACTTTGTTGGGTCAGATCTCATCCATCTGAGCGTGCATCTTAAGCATTAAAACATAGCATAAATATAGTTTCTATTTTTTTAAACTTGACATTCGTATGCTGCCCTTGATTGAACTTCAGGAAAGTTAGTTTTCTGGAATAAACACAAATCTTTCTCCTCGTAGAAAGACACAGATGAGGAGGTGAGGGAGTTCCTGCACAACAATCTGCACCTGCAGGGCAAGGTAAGAGCTCTTATTGTGGTAAATGTTTACAGAGTCGTGAATCGAAACACAGTAACGGTTCTTATTTCAGCAAAAGATTGTAAAGTGTATTTTTTCCTTTTCTTGCTTCATTATTAAATTCTAATCGTTCAGAGCCCTCTTGTCATCTCCTAACAGGACAGCAGACTCCATCAGTTTATCATTCACAGATTGATGATACTTTTAAGGATATTTTAAAGATCTAAACCTGTTTGAGGGTCACAAATGGCCCGTGGGCCACACTTTGGACACCCCTGACCTAGATCTTTATTGATATTTTGCAGCCCACGACTTCAAGTTAAAATTAGGCCAGTTAGGTTGAGGAGGTGCAGATGATGGTTTACAAGTTGTAAGGGTGGTAAAACATTTGAAAGATTTAGCCAAGTTTTATAAATCGTTGCCCAAAAGTACTTTTTGGTCAAAGATTTGTGATCCATGAAATTGGAATAAACATAAACAAGGTTATTTAAAGACAAAGACTTGAACTGTGCTGAGCGTTGCCCTTGTTAGGACTATCCGGTTTTATGGTAAACCTAAGAAAGATCAAAATACGGTGATTCAATCATTGAGGGAACTGGACACCATGAAGGGAATGTGGGGAGTGGGAATATTTTACACACAACTCTATCATCTTTACCACCACTGACCTACGGTATGGATCAGTACAGGCGACTGCCAGCTGGACCCTCCTTCAGTGCTTCGACCAACCACTCTTTAGGAATGGTCCGTCCATTCTTGTTTGGGCCAAGAAGGTAAAACAAACTCCCTCAGGTGGAGCTTGAACTGCAAGACAACCAAGTTTTCACATCAAGGGTAGCCACACAACCCTTTTTAGTGGTTGTGTTTGAAGAAAAGCGACCTGTCTCACACTTCTGTTTTAGAGAATAGACTAAAACCTGCTTTAGAAGAACAAGAAAGCAACAATAACAAATCCACCCAGTCAAAGAAATTGAACATTTTCATGGCAGAAGGCGAATAGATGAGTCCTCTGTGTCCTCCAACTACGTCCATGTCCTCTCTAACTAATATCTCCTCAGTCTTTTTCCTGACAGCTGCATCCCTAGCATCCTTCCACCAATATACCCACTGTCTCCACCTGAAAGGAGCAGAAGGGTCTCATGTGGCCCTAAGGCCATAGATTTCAGACCCCTGCCCTAATAAAACCAAAGAAAAATTCACTCAAAACTTGCAAACGTAAAGAAATTCTGCATTTTGTGTCCTGTTCTGGTTCAGGTGGAGGACCCGGCCATGCGCTGGCAGATGGCTCTTTATAAGGAGATGGCAGGAAAGGCCGAAGATGCCGAAGACCCAGAGAAGGTGGTGAAAAGGGTGCAAGAGGTGTCGGCAGTTCTTTACCACATCGACGTGGTGAGTGCTCAGACAAGACAACAGGTGCGTCGGAGAAGCTGGTGGCAAACAGTAAAGATTCACGTTTTTCCTGTTTCAGACCGAGCACCCCTTCAAATCCAAGAAAATGGTTTGGCACAAGCTGCTGTCCAAACAGCGCCGCAGGGCGGTGGTGGCCTGTTTTAGGATGACGCCGCTCTACAACATCCCCACGTAAAGATTCTCCTGAGGCTCATTTTAAATGTCAAAGCTTTACTGATGCACTCCTCCCTGTTAGAGATGTATCTGTTTATTTACAGGCACAGAGCCATCAACATGTTCCTGAACGCCTACAAGCGGAACTGGCTGGAAACAGAGGGCTACTCGTTTGAAGACAAGATGATTGACGACCTGTCAGTAAGTCGCTGCTCTTTAGCCTTCACAAGACCTTACGGGGAAAAAATCGA